CGATGACTACAGCTAGCGCTACTACTACTGCCTAGCGCTGAAGACTACTGCAGCGCTCCTCCTGAGTGCTGTGGCCGAAATCTGAAGACTACCGTCCTACTCTCCAACTGCCTACCCGTTCAGTGCCTGAAGCTCCTATGTACTATCACGGGTGCCTCCTGACTCGGGCGAGCAGTCCAGGAGGCTGCTCTTGCCAATAATGCCGAAGGGAGGCAGGGGCTGCAGCTGCAGCTCTTGCTCGTGCTCTTGCCAATAATGTCGAAGGGAGGCAGGGGCTGCAGCTACAGCTCCTGCTTGTGCTCTTGCCAATAATGCCGCAGGGAGGCAGGGGCTGCAGCTGCAGCTCCTGCTCGAGCTAGCGTGGGAACAGGCCATAAATAGCCTGTTCCGAAACCCAGTTTTTGTGCCTGAATCTTAGGGCAGGTCGAAACAAATGAGGGCCTAAAAATAGCCCAGGGCCTAAGAATAGCCCTCCGTTTCAGGCTGGAAAAACTCTGGGTCTGAAAGACCCAGAAATAGGCTGAAACGGAGTAGGGCCTGCAGGCCCTCGTTTTTCAGTTTTCAGGCTGAAACGACCAGGGCCTGTAGCTCCTAAGTTTTAGGCTTTTAGGCTGAATGTCCGGGACAGGTCCTACAGGGCCCGTGTGGCTACGCAGTCTGCCACAGGGAAAGAGCCTAAAACTATGAGGGAATACCAGGTCAGGTTCAGGCATCATACATATCCAAAAGAAGATTGTTGATTCACAAAAGAGGAGCTTGTCAAGACAGCCCCTCAGATTGCGGCAGATTACGAGCGAAGACTGAAGGGGAAGGCACCACGTAGAAGCATCTCAGCGGACTTTCGAAGCTAAGGGGGATGGAATGCAAGGAATGAGCCCTCACGGGGCCCTTACCAGACATACAAGTATTATGGTCTGTGGCCCCTAGCAAGCCTGTGCCTGCCCTAAGTGAAGGCGGGCCTGGATATCCACATGAGGCCTGTTTTCGACATTTTTCCATATGTGGGTACTCAGACAGTTGCAGCACGCCAGTTGGTTACAGAGCAACGTGAGCCTGCCATCACACATGTGCCGCGAGCCAATGAGAACACTGCAAACACTTGGAGGCTGGGTGGCTGACTGGGCGTGCCTAACTGCATGAGGCCCAGACCAGTATCTGAAACTGGGCCTGGGCACAGACACTTGGGGCCAGAGGCAAGCTACTGGGCGCCCACACCCTACCTTAATCCAGGAACGGGAAGCAAGTTGTTCCACTGGTTCAGGACGAGATCGGAGCTAGGATCTAGGGCTGCGGTCCAGAACTACCTTAAATTTACTAACCAGATCCTCCTTAACTACCTGCACAGTCAATCCTTTGGATACCAGAGTAATAAATGCTGGCAGGTTTCACAGTCAACTTCCTGTATTCATTTTGTATTCATTCTGTATTCATTATGTAAAGGGACGCTGGACCCGTTTTCCAGCAGGTGATGCTCCCCACCAATAGACGGAGCCTCTCCCCGGGTGCTAGTGGTGTCTGATCTTATCAGTACCACTAGCACCGCAGGGGGGGGGTGTTTATTAAAATATAAAATTAAAAAAATAATAATAATAATAAATAAAAAAAACAGAACTAAGCTATCCTACGGTTATGGGTCTATGTCTACCTATCTCTGCTCTGTGCGGGGAGCAGTCCCCAAGCTCCTAACACCTGGCGTGGGCTGGTACAGACAACCAGCCAGGAGGCCCAAACCAACAATCTCCGCTGGTGAACCCGAAGCATCTCCCAGGAGGCCGTGGGGATCAAAAGGACGACGTTGGGTATCGAACCCACGCCCTCCTAAGTGGCACTTACGTGGTCAACCATCTGAGCTAGCCCGCTTGGGCTGCAGAGCCCTGCTTTATGTTTTCTTTGCCCATTCGAAACTCCCGCCGCGACAGACCTCCCAGCATACTGTTTTTTTGCCTTTTCAAACTCAAAACCTGACATGGCTGTAACTGTTAAAAGAAAAAAGAACCTGCAAGGTCCCCAACATATGTGCAGTTGAACCGGGAGTGACCACTCATCCGTCCCCATTAACCACCAGTGGCTCTTAGGGGCTCCTATTTTCTAGGCTAGGTACCAAGGAAGCGGCAATAAGGTGTCGGAGAGGTGTTGTAAGGGTGTTGTGATGAGAGAAAGAAAAAAACAGAGGCCCCACAAAATAGACCCACATAAAATCTGCGTCCAACAATACACGACCCAGGAAACCTTTGGACAGCAACAGAGATCTGTCACCTGCCCGCGACCTGAAACTTTGTGCAACACGAGAACCACGACCTGACTACCTCTGTTGTCAGCCAATATCTGACTGCTTCTCTCTCTCTCTCTCTCTCTCTCTCTCTCTCTCTCTCTCTCTCTCTCTCTCTCTCTCTCTCTCTC